AAGCTCACCTCTGGCTGTGGGGACAGCCCTTTCCCAGTTCCACACAATCTTGGTGGGTTCCGGATGCAGAAATGCCTGTTCTATAATGGAGGTTCTAGAATCCTTGTTCTAAAATGGAGTCTGGAGGGCAATTCCCTGCGCTTGTGGTCTGCCCCTCAGTCACTTCTCTTTCCACCACTGTGCACCAGAGGTCAGCCAAATTTTTCCATTAAGGGTCAGAGAGTTGACATTGCAGGCTTTTGCAGATATAGAATCTTTGTTGCAATGAATCTTTGCTGCAACTGTTCAGCTCTACAAGGTGGCAAAAAAAGCTGTCACCATTGGTGTGTAAAAAGCACAAACATTACAGTATTCTGATAAAACTTCATTTACAGAAGTGGGTATTTAGAGGGATTTGGCCTATGGGCCAATGTTTGCCAATCCCTGCCCTCTACCTTACTCCTGAGTGAACATTCCATCTTCAAGAGTTCAGGGACTCCCTGGTGGCTCAAGGTGTTGAGATGCAACCTATGAAGTCATCTGTAGCCACTGCAGCACAAGTTCAATCCCTGGCCAGGGAACTACCCACATGGTGCAGCAGACCTCTCCTGCCTTGCCCACTGCTCCCCTCAGTGGTGTATTTCAGTCAATCTGCCTCTTCTGTTCCCCACTCTGTCTCTGGTGATCTTCTCATACATACCCCTCACACCTCTGGCCTGTACCCCAGTTCTTGTATGCATAAATAAATAAATATTTTTTTTAAAAAGATTTCAACTATTCTTCAAATTTATAGTTTCTACCCAGGCTTCTCCTCTGAGTCCCAGACCCATTGTTTCCTCCTTAGATAAATAAAATACACCCCACTCAATATCCCTACATGACCTCACAGCATGCCCACTCTCCATTTGCTGCCTTATGTTTTTTATCTCATAAATGACACTCTCATTCAGACAAGCCCATCAGATGCAGGATTTGTTCTGGGCATCTCCTGCACCCTCACCCGATATTTAAATCCAGTAGAAATGCACCTATTTACTCACTATGACTTGTATGAGTTTTGAATTTCCTCCATTTCTACAACAGCTGTTCTTGCCACAATTCTCCCATCTTTCCCACAATAGCTGCACCATTCTCCCACTAGGTTACAGGTTATCCATATCCAACTTCCCTTTCCAATCTATCCTTTACAGTATGTCCAGCAGAATAACTCCCAAATACCACTATGCATGTATTTTCCTGCATAAGATTTCATTAGTCTCAGAATAAGCCAAAAGTTTTGAGCCCAGTCAAGTGACCCAGCAGGGTTGACACCTCCTTCATTCTTCAGGTTCATATCAGACCATTTCCCTACTTCCCTCCATCTGCCCAATTGTTCTTTCCTCCCCTACTTACCTAATTTATTCTCATAATCCAAATTGAGACACAAATATTTCAAATTCCCCCTTATATATCCTAACTATACTACACATCTCTCCTTCCTGATACTACAATTCAATTGCATATTTATTGTTTTGATTAGAGTTGGAAAATTCAGACCTACAGTCTAAATCCATCTCTGTAAATACAGTTCTGCTGCACATGACCACATCAGTGTTATTGTGCATTGTGGTTGCTTGTATACAACTACAGTAGAGCTAGACAGTTATGACCAGCCATGGACCCAGAGCCTCCAGTATTCACTCTCTGGCCCTTTTATAAAGAGTGTGCCAATTCCTGATCTTGCTTATTTGATTGTTCTATCTTTCACAGATCACAAGGATGGAGACAAGACCTGATGTTCTGTACTACAGCATCTTCATGCTCTACCACAGCATCTGACACAGTAGAAAGGCCATTAGAACTAGATGAATGAATAAATATTCAGATAGACTGCATTGTCAGATCACTTTCCATCCTAAGGCATCTAATATATCTGCCATGATAATTTTCTCATTTTCAGTTTTCCTTGCCTCCTTATCCCATTGGCTGTAATAGTTAAGGCTCATTTTACAACCTCTGTTCTTCTGAAGAGAAAGGTGAAATAAGAATAGGAAGAAGGAAGCTTGTTACTCCTAATGGGGGTGAAACATTACCTACAAAAGCAAGAATGACCTTTGCAGAGCAATCTTCTTCTCCTTCCACACATCACACCACCTGCAAGGGGTCAGAACTTAGTTTACAGCCAAGAGAAACTGGGCTTGATTGTAAAGTCATACATGTCTTCTGGCTGCAAAGTCTTTCCAGCAAGCAACATTTCCCAAAAATGTGCTTTGTCAAGATGTTTTGAGAGGAAAGGGGGTTCTATGCTCAATGTGATTGGAAAACAGGGTACATTCCATAGTCCTAGTGAACATTCTGCAAGAAAGAAACCTGACTAACATTTCCAAGATGTATTTGAGCTCAGTATACTTTTTTCTCATAAAATACCTAGAAACTCCAGAGACTTGGAGAAACACATATTTTGAATAATCTGACTGTTTGCCATTTGTCACAATGTTAAAGCCAGTACAAGCATCCATTCAGTTCTCTGCACAACACATACTACATGCTTGTCATTGAAGCCCTGGAGTGAAGAGGATTTGGTTTGGGTCAAGGTGGTGTCTAAGACCTGCCTTCCCATAAAACCTTTCAGCTTCTAAATTATTCCCATTTCTCCATTCTTGCAGAGCAAAAAACTTAATCTGTCTTAAAAGGAAAACAATTGCATCATCTGAGTGAAGGACTTCACTCAAAATAGAAATGGGGAAGGATTGGGGTAAGAATGGGGCGTTTGCAATTGTATGGGGGAATATAAAAATAAAATTTAATATTAAAAAAAAAAAAAGAAATGAAGAAGGTATTTCTCAACTTATTTTTGAGTTTGAAAGAGGAACTTAACCTATTTATATGTGTGCAAGTAGAATCTCAAAATATACTTTACTCACTTTAGGCTATACCCCAATAAGGACCCCATCTACACTCCAGTTTTATAAATGTGGATCATTTGAGCAATGTTCTGAGATGCTACCACTAGCCTCATATATTTCCTGTTGCATCAGGCATGTAACTGGAGCCACTACTTCCAAGTGACACTATCCCTCTCTTAGTGAAAGTCTTTCAATCCTTTTTATGTTGTTCCTACTATTTGGCATGGTGCTCAAAGAATGTCATGAAGAACTGAAAATCTTTCAATTTTTATCTTACAGACTTCTCACCAATAAATATTTTTTGGACACCCCCCATGTGCTAACACTTAAGCCGGGAGCTCACAGTTGGCCCAGGGAGATAGGCACAGTGGCTAGTAGCACACTGTGATGAACATTATGACACCATCATTAGTGACACATGACTTTCCAGAAAGTTGGAAGAAGGCTCACAAAATGGGCCTATTCATTGGAGACTTCATTAGGAAGTCTTAGAACCACACCTCAGAATCAGGCTGCAGGAAGTAGAAATACATTTCATAGGTACACAGGTGCTGTGGGGAAGCATAACTACATTGACAGCTGAGTGTTTCTGGGGTGCAGACTGAAGAAGGTCTGATGGGCCAAATTTGGGTATCTGGATTTCATCCTATAGAGAATGGAAGCCATAGAAGATTTAAAGATAACTTTAATTTCAAATTGATTAAACCTATATTTAAGATAAAAAACTCTACCTGAAGGAAGGATTATAGTATTATTTTTAAAAGGACTGGAATGAAGCTGCAGTGTTTCTAAACCAAATTTCTTGGGCACCCTACTGGGCTTTCCACTATAACATGAAGACAGTCTGCCTGCCTTCTGGTAGTCTAAGTAAAGTTGGAGGTCTGCAGATGAACATGCATGAAGTTCTCTGTTTTTACCCAGACAAAACAAAAAGCCCATAATCAAAAGGAACACACTCTTTGAAAGTCTTCTCATTTCCTCCTCTGTGGGGGATTGGGAAGTGTGCAGCCATGGTGAGGTGTGGGTAAGGCTCATTGCCCCTGACTGAAAGAGGATGCTGGTGCCAGGCCATACTGTCCCCAGTGTGGTCAGGCAGTGGGTCCTGCAGGATGCTGGACAATACTGGGAAGGCAAAGGAGGGAATCCTCAACCTTGAGCCAAAGCTGGGCCACAGATCACTGAACCCTGTGTGTCTCAATTAGTCTCAAGAAGAAAAAATTCTTGGAAGCTGATCAGGCAGTAAGTGAAAACAAACGATTCTATTTGGAAGGAGATTGGACAAAATGGAGAGAATTTTGTTTTGTTTAATGAGATAAAACAGGCAATAGGATTACTGAATAGGGTCAGGCAAGTACTGCAGCCTTCTCCAGAGTTGGCAACAGAAGAAGGAAGTTTATTTGAGACATATATTTTTAAAAAACTATCTTGAGAAAAATTATCATATCTTAAACATAACTACTGGAAGGTCTTTGAGCCACCTCCATCTGATGTATGTCCAGGTAATTTCAAAAGTCAAGTGGGCCCTCACTGGACAAATTCTTTCCAATTTCATCTCATAAAGGATTACCCCAAGGATCATTGCATCAGGAGATCCTAAATATCTCATCATGTTCATTACAACAAAGAGGTATAATCACAATGTTGGCTACTTTAAAATGAGTTAATCTGATTTGTGTTCCTTTATACATCACCTACTTCTTCCCCTCTTCCACTTGAATATTCCTTATTTGTCTTGAATTCTTGGAAGTTTCACCACCATATGTGTTGCTTTTGCTCTCATGTTGTTTAGGTACCCTGGTGTTCTTTTAGATTCCTGGATTTATTTCTTTTTCAGGTTTGGGAAGTTTCCTTATAGTATTTCTTTAAATGTTTGCTCTATTCCTTTTTGTTTCTCTTTCCCTTCTGGCATTCCCACTATTCTTAAATTGCCTTCCCTCATGGTGTTGCATTGTTCACCAAGTGTTTTCTTCATATTTTACTTCATTTCTCATTTTCTTCTTCCATCTTGCTTCTTTATAAATTCCTGTCTTTGAGTTCATTGATTTGTTCTTCCATTCAGTTTATTTCACTTCTATAGCTTTCTATAGTAATTTTTCATCTTCTTTTTCACTCTCTTTTTATCCTGCAACTCCTTTACAAAATATGGAATGCTTCACTATTTGGTTGTCATCTTTGCACAGATGCCAAGCTAATCTTCTCTGTATTATTCCATATATTGCATTTTAAAGTCAAGTTTCTATTAGCTTACAACACATATGTGATTTAGAGTTTCATTATTTCTTTCTGTCCCTTTCTCCCATTTTCATCTATTTCTGGGACTCCCATGATACACATATTTTGGTTTGTTCCATGAAATCACACAAGTCCCTTAGGTTCTGTTTATTTTATTAATTATTTTTTTTCTATCCTACAGATTATAAAATTTCAATTGTCCTTTCTTAAATTTTATTGATTCTTTCTTCTGTCTGGTCCAACCTTATTTTGATATGATCCAGTTAATGTTTGGTTTCAGTTGTAATCTTTAGCTCCAAAATTTCCGTTATTTCTATTTAGTTTCTTTAATTATTTCTATTTCATTTCTTTTCATTCATTTTCTAATCATTATTTAAACACACTTAAGACTAAATCATTGCCTGGTAACTTGAATAACTAGTTTGCTCTTTTCATTAAGCAACATTTTCTTGTTTCTTCATATGCTTGATATCATTGTAAACTGAATGTTTGAATATTATAATGTGGTTACATCAAAGTCTCCTCTTTCCCTTGGTTTTTTTTTTTTTTTTTTGGTTTTTGATTTGAAGGCTATAGTCATGAATTTGTGTAGTGACTTTACAAGACCTTTTTTCAAAGACTGTATTCTTTGTCATGTGTAGTCTCTAAAGGCTTTAATTCTTTAGCTTGCTTTAGCTAGTGTTTTGAGAATTTTTCTTTAATAACAGGGGTTAATAAAAAGCAAAACAAAATAAAACTCAACTGATCTTTGAAGATTACTCTGAGCTGGAGCATTCTTTGAATACCTAACCAATCTATTTACAACTCTGTTTTAACCTTCATTTGGGTTTGCACTGAACATACAAATCAGCCAGTGGTGAAATTTTAGCATCTTCTGAGATATTTTGTTTGCATGAGCGCTGTTCCAGGCATGCATGCTGCTTTCCAAATCCCTCCATTATTTACAAGTGCTTTTGAATGGCCTCAGTCACAAAAAGACTCTTCAGCTTTCCTGCTAGGATTTAGGGGGTCTATTATATGTCTCAACCATAATCTTTTGCATTGTTAGATTGCTAGTTTTCCTTACAATGTTTTCAAGAAATGCCACTGTTTTGCATCTTGAGTAATTTTTGAGTTAGGGAAAATATTTAATCACTTTGTATCATTCCTACAGTTAGCCCCAGACAAGGTAGAAGAGGCAAACACAATAAATTGCAGATAAGGGTCTGGAGTTTGGACCCAAGTTCCATTCTGGGAAATAAGGTTGTTTTCTTCAAAATAACTGTAAACTGGAAAGGGTGTGAGGTAAGACCAAATTAAATTGCCACAAATATTCCCTACCATTTTAAAGTTGTCTTTTCCCTGATTCAGGGAATTCTCTTGCCTGCTATAAATTTCAGGTTGCTTGTTAGAGTTCTGAAAATGTTTGTTTTGAGAGTTTCTACTCATTTATTTTTTATTCTAGGGAGGGATGGTTGCTTTCTACCTACTCATTTTGCTCACCCATCCTGCCAAGAAGAATTTTTTCATAAGCAGTATTATTGCCTACTTGGAGAGGGGCTAACATGATATTTCCACTCTCTGAGACACTTGTACATCAAGTCAAATGAGGTTATTTGACAGATTAAGTGGCACCTGCAGTTCATGTAAGAGATGACTTCTGGACCATGATGGTTGTACCTATTTCTGAAGGAGAAGCTTGAAGAATAAAATATTCTTGACTGGATGTTATTGTATTTAAGTTTTTCCATCACATCATTCCAATCTCTAATTGCTAGCAATGTTTTCTTAATGAAAACTAATGTTAGCCAAATCTGTATTTCTTTAGTTTATGTGCTTTTTCCACCTCTCCAATGTCAATATTATTTATTTCTCTTAAACTGTTGGAAGTTTTTTTTTACTGTATGTCTTGGTATAGATCTCCCTTATGTGCTTTCAGCTTCATGGACTTGTATAATTACTTCCTTCGCAAAGTTCAGGAAATTTACATCTACTATTTCTTTAAATAAGTTCTCTGCTTCTTTTGCACTCTGAAAATTGTTGGATATTTTTATTTTTATATTAACTTTCTTCATGAAGTCAAACAAATATTCTGTGAAACAAAATCAATGATTAGAAGCCCTGCCTGCAAATACAACAGCCTAATACAGCATTGGGCCAAACCCAGTGAAATACCAACCCACAGCAGTGTGGTCCTGAGAGAAAAGATTGGCGAAGTTGAAAAATACAACAAATGTCCATATGAATCCTCAGGGGAATATTACACAATGGAAAAAGAACAAATTTTAAGAACCTAATCACAAATACATGGAAAGACAGAATAGTCATATTTAAATCAAATAATATAAATTTTCAGTAAAAAAGATAAGATATAGGGATGGATACTATACAGTAATTAAGGGAGCAATATATCAGGAAGACACAACACTCATCAATGTATACTTGCTAAATGAAGGAGTACCAAAGTGTAATAGGCAATTACTATCAGCTCTGAAAACAAATATTGGAAAAAATACATTTCAGTAGAGGACTTCAAAACTGGACTCTTAACAATGGATAGATCAATGAGACAGAAAATGAATTAGACCACATGGACCTAAATGACTACATATTGTGTAACAAAACAAGTATAAACAAATTCATGAAGATTAAAATAATACCAAACATCTTCTCTGAGCATATAGTTATCAAATTAAATTTCAACTATAAGAAGACAGCATGGAAGTCCTCTAATCTGTGGATATTGCACAACACACTACTAAAGTCCATGTAAATGAGAAATGCAAAGAATTTCTTGACAGAAATGACAGTGAGGACACAAACTTCCAAATCATATCAGACACAGCAAAAGCAGTAACAAGAGCAAAGTATATAGCAATATATGCCCACATCAAGAAAAAAGAAAGAGTTAAAATAAATAACTTTATCTTGCATCTTGAGGGACTAAAAAAAGAAAAATAAGAAAGCTAAAATCCAGCAGAAGTAAGGTATATAACAAAAAATAGAGCAGATATAAAGGAAATAGAAGTCCAAATGATCAACAAAACCAAAAACTGGTTCTTAAAAAAAAAATAGACAAATTTCTAGCTAAGCTAACTAAGGAATAAAAGGGGAAAACACAAATAAAATGTATTAAGAACCAAAGAGCAGAATTTCCAACAGATACTGCAGAAACTCAGAGGACAGTAAGAGGCGCATATGAACATTTCTATACAAACAAGGTCAAAAACCTAGATAAAATCAACAAATTAATAGAATTATACAATCATCCAAGACTGAACAGGGAAGGCAAAAAAAATCTGAACAAATAATCATAAGCAAGGGATTTGAAACATTAATCAAATATCTTTCAAAAATCAAAAGTCTAGGAGATGACTTCACAATTGTGTTCTACCAAACATTCAAAGATAAAATAATGTTTATTGTGCTCAAACTCTAAAATAAATTGAGAAAGAATACTTCAAAACAAATTTTATGAGGCCAAGTTTACCCTACTGCCAAAATCAAATAAAGACAACACAAAAGAAGAAAATGACAAACCAATATCCCTAATGAACACAGCTGCAAAAATCATCAAAAAAATCTTAACAGGGCCTCCCCGGTGGCGCAGCGGTTGAGCGCTGGGTTGCGAAGCTGCCCGGGGCCTCTGCGGCGCCGGTTCGATCCTCGGCTGCTCCCCGGCCACCAGAGGAGGGTCCCACATGGCGTGCAGACCTCTCCTGCCGCCCGCTGCTCCCCTCAGCAGTGTACTTCGGTCCTTCTGCCTGCTCTGCTCCCGGCTCTGGCTCTGGTGAATTCTCTCACCCTCCCGCGCTTCTGACTGTACCCAGTGCATGTATAAACAAAACAAACAAACAAACCAGCAAACAAATAAATAAAGCATGCCTCTATAAAAAAAAAAAAAAAAAAAAAAAAAAAAATCTTAACAAATAGTACCCAATAATGCATTGAAAGAATTTTATACTGGGCCTCCACCAGTGGCACAGGCAGTTGAGTGCAGCACTGTGAAGCTCTCCGCAGACTGGGCAGTGCCTGTTCAATCCCGGCCAACCAGCAAGGGTCCCACATGGAGCAGCAGACCTCTCCTGTCTCACCTGCTGCTCCCCTCAGCAGTGTATTTCAGTCAGTCTGCCTGTTCTGTTCCCCGCTCTGTCTCTGGTGAATCCTCTCACCCTCCCGTGAATCTGGCCTGTACTCCAGTTCTTATATGGATAAATAAATCTTTTAAAAAAAAAGAATTTTATACCATAACCAAGTGGGATTTATACCAGCCACACAAGGAAGGTTCTACATCTAAAAGTTAATCAGTGTAATTCTCCACATCAACAATTTAAAAAAGATAAAACCATATGATCCTATTAATAGATAAAGAGAAAACATTTACTAACATTCATGACTCATGATAAAAACTATTTCAAAACTGGGAATAAATGGAACATAGCTTGACATAATAAAAGCATATAGGACAAACTCATAGCTAACATCATTCTAAATGGTGAAAAACTGAAAGCTTGTCCACTGAGATCTTATACAAAACAAGGATGTCTACACTCAACACTGCTATTCGACATAACATTGGAAATCCTAGCTGGAGCAATTAGGCAAGAGAAAGATATAAAAAGAATCCAAATTGGAAAAGAAAAAGTAAAGCTATCATAATTTATAGATGATATGATAATATGCATTGTGAAACATGGAAAAACTAATTAAAATAGTAAACCAGTTCAGCAAAATGGAAGGTTACAAAATCAATACACAAAAATCATCTGCAATCTTATATGTAAAGAATATTTAAGTGGAATAAAATGATCCCTTCTATAATCATACAAAAAAATTAAGTATGTAGGAGCAAACCTAACAAAGAAGGTGTATGACACACAAAAAAAAACCTTAAAGACATTTTTAAAAGAAATAGAAAAAGATATAAAGAAATGGAAATATATTTCCTGTTCATTGATTGGAAGAATCAACACTGCCAAAATGGCCATCCTACCCAAAATAATATATAGATTCAATGCAATCCAAATA